CTAAAAAGTGCTTACAATTGTGAATATGCATCTCTTACAATGCAGAAGTACTTTTTCTCAAGGACCCAAGAGCCATCCCTGTGAGATACAATTGTCAGGAAGGAGAGGGCCTCTGTCTCCCAGTCTCTGTGGAAGGATAGACTCCTAACTTCAATAACAGCCAACCAGCAGACACATTGACCAGCCCTTTGCACGTTTTCATTTCATGACTCTATCGAACCCCTACCATTCCCCCTTCCTCACTCTCCTTTTATTTTATTTTATTTTATTTTTTTACACTCTCCTTTTAAAATGCCCAAATCTCTTCTACACAAATTGGAATGGAGCTCAGCTCTTTCATTTACTGTCAGTAGTTACTGAATAAAATCTGTTTCCACAGCTTTAACTAATGTCCAGCTGTGTTTATCTTTGACACCTCTATGTGGGAGAAACGCTCATTCATGGGCTCACCTCTACCCCCATGCACACAGAGTTCTGGACGGGATCCAGGAGTTCTCCTTTGTCTCTCTTCTTCCGAGGCTGCATGTAGCACAGCCTGCTAGGGAGATGAATGAAGAAAACCTCCCACTGCATAGCTAAATTTCTTTTTCAAGCTATTTACATTTCAATAGTTAGATATATGTGTTTGGGCACATGAGCATGTACTTGTGACAAGACAGGTGGATTTCCACTTTAACATGACTTTGTTTGATCTGTTTGTTGTCCAAACCTAGCCAGACAAACTGAAGGGAGAGGGAGAGATGAATTGGAAACATGGGGCAAACCTGGGGGAGATGCCCATAATCCTCTAGAGAGACTCTATGGCACTTGAGTGAGGATGGGAAAAAAATGGCTAAGAAGTGTAAAAGGTGGAAATGTGAAAGGATACAGAAGGTGGCTTAATTGCTTTTTCCCTTTTTCACATTTTTGCTTTTGGCTCAGTCCTGCTCTTCACCTTCCTTCCAAAAACGTAAAGTAAAATGTCTCTGTACTGTACTTTCTTTACCCTGCTCCCAGCCAAAAAAAAAAAAAAAAAAAAAAAAAAAAAAAAAAAAAAAAAAAAAAAAAAAAAAAAAGAAGCTATTTATTGTTTTACTTCTCTTCCAATTATATTATTCTGGCCTTGCAAGAAATGTAAATCAAAGGATGAGAGCAAGAAATTAGTCACTATCTTTGGGTCTTAGTTTAACCATGAGAGTTTTGGATTGAATTTATAATTCAACAAATATTTATTGAATGAGTGCTATGTGCAAAGTACTATCTATTTGATATAGAATCATTATGTTACCCTTATGGAGCTTACATTCTAGGAAAGAGATATTCAATGAACAAATGAATTAAAGAATAACATAATTAAGGTAGAAAAATATAAAGAGCAGTATTTGATATGGTAAGGCTTCAATGGAAATGTGACAGTCTCTGTTCCAAGTGTTTTACTTATATTTACTCATTTAATTTTATCTATTACTATTATTATTATTTTACAGAAGCACAACATAGTTAAGTAAGTTAAGTGTATCATATTACTATGCTATAGAATTTGACCTTGAACCTGGCAGTCTTGTTCCAAGTTCTTTACCTTTTACCACTAGTCTGTATTTATTATTAATTCTATTTATAAGGATTACTCTGAAGTGTGAGGAAAGACTTAAACTCTGGAGGCAAGAATTTAAGCAGGGATACCAGGGAGGGTAGAGAGGACAGTGACTGGACTATGGTGGATATGGTGGAGGAGAAATATAGTGGTCAGATTTGAGATGCATTGTGAATTTAGAGGAAATAGAAGATTTGCTGATGGATTGCATATGAGCAAGAGAGGACTTGATCATGAACCCAACTTTTAGGCTTAAGGAACTGGGATAAAGATGGTGTTTGTTAAAAAGTTGGGAAAACTGGGGGAGGAGGTGGTTTGGTGAGGGGTAGAAATAAAGATTTTGTTTTGAAAATGTAAACTTTGAAATACATATGAAACATCTAAGAAGAGGTATAAAGGAGGCAATATTCTGGAGTTTGGACTGTAGCTTTAAATTTGTAGGTCATTATCATGTGGATATTTATGAAAGATATGTGTCTGGATGAGATTCCCCAGGAAGGGAATATGAACATGACAAGGAATGAGTGATAGAACATTCTAACCCTCGGAGATTATGAAGAGGGGAAGGACTCAACAAAATAGGAGCTGAAGATTAAATGAATGACAAACAAGGAGTCAAAGAAGGAAGTTTGAAGGGGAAATTCATCAACTTTGTCTTATGCTGCTGATAAGTCAAGATGGTGACCAAGAATAGACCATTAAATTTGGCAAAGTAGAAGAAATTTGATGCCTTGACTATGGAGTGTTAGGGACAAAAGCATGATTGGACTGGGTTCAAGAAACTAGAAAAATTCTGAAGCCCCCTTTATAGCATTGGCAAAATGATGAAAAATAACCTGAAAAAAAAAAGATGTGGAGGATAGTTACAGAGGGTAAAAAAGAATAATAATGCTTTTTCAAATACTTCAAACAACTTCAAAATATTTTATTGGACATCTACACATCCAACACTGTTAGGTGAGTTTTAAAATATTTTTCTTATTTGTTACTTTAACATTTTGATATTAAGCAAATTTAAAAAAAGAAAAAAGTATTTCTATACTCCCATAATCTTAATACAATAATTTCAATTACTGTCCATAAGTTTCCATAATTTTATATAGTCTTATTAATTATATTATAAGCCATTTCCTTTGTAGATATGTTTTTATAATGTGTTGATTATGACAGCAAATACTTTATTGTATGAGTACACAGCATGGTTATTTAATTATTTTTATTCCCAACTGTTTATGTTGTCTCCAAATTATAATATATAATACTATGATTATTTGTCTCTATGCTTTTCATCCTTATTAAGCTATGAGTAGCCTCTGGGAGTCCAGGACCACATCTATTTCAGTTCTGAATCACCAGCATGTACCTGGGACAGAGTCACTTTAAAAAAAATTATAAATTAAATTGATTGGGGTGACATTGCTCAACATGAACATAGAGGTTTCTGGTGTAGGTTTCTATGTTACAAGATCTGCATATTGCACTGTGTGCCTACCACCCAAAGTCAAATATTCTCTTATCACCATATATTAGTACCCCCTACCCCCCACCCTTTTCCCTCTCAGAATGACTTTTAGGAAGCACATGATACCATATAGCGAAGTGGTGAAAAGTAAAAAGACCTACAGCCTCAGTTCAGTTCTCATTTTGCATTTTCCACTTGTAGACTTGTGGCCTTGGGCAAAATACAACTTCTCTATATCTCATCTATAAATTGAAGATAATAATAGTACCTTATTGATTATTGAAAGAATTCAATGAGCTAATATATGCAGAGTGCCCATACCATTGTAAGCACATATTATATAACTCCTTGGTGTTTTATATAAGAAAAAAAATCAATGCCCTGAATACATTTAATGAATGAATAATAAATCAAAGAACAGTTTTATTTTTGCTTTACAAAGGTAACTTTTAAAATTCTTTTGGATATTTTGTTTTGGGTTCAGTAACAATGTTGTGACAAATATTATGTACAAGGTATCCAGAGAGAAATACTTTATTGGGATTGATTTTCATAAGTGATATAAATAAAAGAAATAACACATATTTCTACAGCTTTGATTATACTGTGATTTGCCCTGGGGAGTTAAGCTCCCTGATGCCAGGGTCAGTGTCTGACTTCTGCATGGCTATCCATCATCAGCAGGTACATAGAGACTGCCACCTGCTACTTCCCAGATGCTTTTTTCCCCCTTTCATGTTTTTTTTCTCCTTCTCCTTAATTACTTTCTCTGGATCTATTTTTTTGATACATAAATTAATAAGGTTCAATTAGGTAACTCTAAGAGCAAAAGAAAAATCAAGGAGGTGGTGGTGGGCAAGGCATGTGTAAAGAGAAAAGTCATCTTGGTAGATTGCCTTTGTTAGGGATTTCAGAAATGAGGACTCGTGGGCCTTGACAGACAGGACTACCACCAGGAAGCAACCACAGGTTCTTGAATAAAGGAGTTGACTTAATGAAAGCCATTATAAAGCTTCTCAGGACGATCATACAGACTACCATCTCTAGAGTGGGAGAGGGCGCCTGAGGGCTCTTGTAGAAACCTGGACAAATGAGAATGAATAAAAGGGAAATAATCCTTTTGAGATCAATTCCTTCCACCACAATTATTTTGTTCATCATTCATTCAGTCAGTATACGAACAAAATAATTGTGGTGGAAGGAATTATCTCAAAAGATTATATATATATTTACCGAGTGCCTTCTTTGCGCCAGGCACTGTGCTAGGCACTGGGTAAAAATCAGTGGAAAATACAGGATTCAGTCCTGATGTCCTGACCAGTTGTTTGTTCCCAGGACTGTCACTGTAGCAGAGTAAGTGCTCAGGACCACCCGGATTGACTCTGTTACTTCCTGTGGAGCTCTGTGCTTGCCCCATGGTAGGCGCTCAAATTCTGTAGCCTATATCGATCCACAGCCTTGGTGCAGCATAACTAAATGCACAGAGCGGGGAAGAAAAGGCCGGGTGGCATCTCTCTTACCTGTGAGACCACAATCTCGCAGTGAGCGCGTGTGTGCATCTAAGTGTAGGATGGGGGCATATCTTCCCAGAGCGCCTGGCACAGTACCAAGCTGCAGGACCAACCTTCTCCTTTCCTTGCACGCTCAAGCCAGCCCAGGCGGTGGCAGGGAGCCAGAGGGAACGAGGCCGAGCTCAGCCTCGCTTCCGCCCGCAGACCCGCCCCGCGCGGCTCCTCCTCGCCGCTGGCGGGGCCGCCCTCGCTGACGCCCCGCGGCCGCAGCTCCGGGAAGCCCAGAGCGCGGGTGTCTGGCGAACCCAGGCGGCGGGTGGAGCTAGAGCCGCTGGCAGCGGCCAATCGTGCCGCGGCGAGGGAGGAGCCCCAAAGGGGGAAAAAAGAAAGTGCGGCGGAAAGTAAGAGGCTCATTGGGGGACGACTGTCCGGATCAGGGTCCCTAGGGCTTTGGCCAGACGCACGGAAAGAAGCGGCGCTGGGCGACTCTGCATCCATCCTCGCCGCTTTCGCTGCGCCCACTGCGTCTGCCAAGAAAGGTGAGTCTGGCGCTGTCCATGAGGGCTCGGAGGAATCACCCAGCCACCTCATCTCCGGGGAGAAGGATTCTCACAAACCGTCTCGTTCAACCCTCTTTCCCCCCCCCAGAGGGCAAACTGAGGCACAGAGCAAGGCAGCAGCTGGAATACATCTTACAGCTAGTTAGTGCTGTGGTCAGGACTCCAACCCAACTGTCCAGAGCCCCATCTTTGCTTTGTAGGGATTTAAGTCACGCAGTTGTGGGGTTCCGCACCCCACTTCCAGCCCTTTACGGCATCCTCCCTGGTATACCCCGCCTCGGTTTGTCCGGTTCCTCCGGAGCGCTGCTGCTGTGAGCAGTTAGGATAGAAAACAGCTGTGTGTCCTAGCCTCCCTCACATCGCTCCCAGCCTGGAGCTGTGACAGCCAGTTGAAAGGCTCCTTGCAGCTTCTCTCCCTCCTCCCCTGACCTGCTTTCTCAGAAAGATGCCCCTTCCGAGGGTATCTGTCGGTGAAGAGGTGAGGACGCCCGGGCGCCGGTAACTTCCGATGGTCCTCATTTTTCTCTCCAGCCCTGGGAGGAAGCTGAGCTGGGGGTTCTTTGGGGGATAGGATGCCCCTCGATGAAGAACAGCTGGCTTTAAGGAGCCATAGCCCCTCTCACTTCTGCGTACTGGGAGGGAGCAAGGAAGCTGAGCTCAAGAGAAACATCGCACACATAAAAGCAAACTTCTGCCATTTAAGAGCCAGTCCCCAACCTTGGTTGTGAAATTGTGAACCACAGCGCCTCTCAAAGCATTTGCCGCTGTGCTCCACAGATCCTCCGGTTAGAAGCCCCGGAGGAGGACAGTTGCCTCGTTTTGATTCCAGCTCTGCCTCGCATTAGCTGTGTGAACTTGGGCAAGTTATTCAATCTTTCTGACACCGAAGTGTGGGGTTTTGTTTTGTTTTTTTTGTTTGTTTGTTTGTTTTTGTTTTTTCCCCAGCCACAAGATGGAGATTATAATTGTCACGATGAGCCCTTAGGGTAGTTAGGAAGATGGCATGGGATCATTCAAAGAACATGTTTAGCTCAGTGCCTGGCCAGGGCACCTGGCCAGGTTGAGATTGATAGCAGCTGTGGTAAATATTGTTAGATGGTAACACTGGAGACGGTGGGTTTTCAGAGAGGTGATTTCATACTACCTTAGAGTGACTTTTTAAAAAAATCTGGAATGTTGTGTTTTTTTCTTCTTTGGAGTTTGAATGGTGAGTGCTCTCTGAACGCTCTCTACGTGTTCCTTCAATCGTGAATGCTTGACTTGGAATATACTGGTAAATGTTTTCAGTCATGCCCGTCTCTACTAGTTTTCAGGCCGACCCTCGGGTTGGTGAAGCTCTGATCTGGGGGATTCTTTATTGGCAAAAAGAGTCTTGAATTTGGTGAGAGATAGGAAGGCAAGAGAAGTTGAAAGTTCCTTCATGTGACAGACTCATGTAAGCCTTTTATTCCTGTTAAGTCAAACAAGCAACTTTATATTGTTTGTTAGTCTAGGAAAACAGCAACAAAATTACCATGTATGTCTTTTGGATTATTTAGTGATGCTGCTAAATTCCAGACACAGGCTCACCTTATTTACACACACCCAGACATGCCTTCACTAGTCTTCTTTTTTAAATTTATTATTATATTTTAAAATGAAATAGTGTTCCACCTATATCCCTACCTGCTGGTGACAATTGATTTTATACTGACTGACTTCATACAGTGATTGACTTCTCTCTCGGCTATGCCATAAGTACCTGAATTGAGCATCCAGCGTTTATAGTTGGCTGCTTCACAGTCCCTTGCATTTGCATGTGGCATTGATGAGTGCATGGGAGGGGGTGCGATCCATATTGAGGGAAGGCAAGAGCTTGGCGGTGCCCCTTTATAGGTACCTCCTGCACCAAGCATTGGCAGAGGTGGGATCGCTCGCTTCCGGCAGCCTGTTCCGTGTGCATGCATTGTGATGAGCTGGCCAGGATACATCTGAACGCGTGCCTGAGAGACCAGGGACTTGTGGGGGAAAGGAAAATATTCAAAGTAAGGTCAGAACAAGGGGATGGAAGGCAGACTGGAAGCTAATTCCTTTTGGTTCCGGTTCTTTAAAATAAAGATACCCAGTTATACCTTTCTTTCTTATCCATGTTATTTGTTACCTAAATCATACATATATCTAACATTTTCACAATGTGCTCCCTATATATTATCTTCCTTGTTACTTGCAATAGCCCTGAGAGAAGGAAGGACATGGCAGGAATATTAATAGTGGAAGGAGCTCAGGTTTTGTGGTCATATCAAATTTCAGTTCTAATTTCTATGCAGGTAGGTAATACTGAGCAATTTATTTCACCATTTAGAGTGTCTGCTTTATCCAGTCCCAAAATGGGAGGAGGAAATAAGCTGACCCCCAAAAGGATTTGTGTAAGGATTGAATTAAGTGGGATGATGTAAATAAAGTACATGTGGTGAGTAGGTGCTCATTAAATGATGTCCCTTCTTCACTGGTCTCAATTTGTTGAGACAGAAACTGAAATGAGATTCAGAGAAATGAGAGGTTGCCAAGGGTCACATGGTTATTAAGCTTTAGCGCGGAGAATATGGTTTACACATTTTGATTTCTAGTTAAAGGCTTTTCTGGTCACACCCTGTCGCCTCTTCAGTGAGATATTTAGTAATTTACTTCAGTTGGTAGGTGGACCTTATTTGGCTGGAGATTGCATGGTATCCTTTTTGTCTCAAAGAGGATATTTCCTTGCTAAGGGAACAATCCTTAAACATGCTCTGTTGAGTTTAGCAGGGCCAGCTCTCAAGAGAGGAAGTTTCAAAGCCACGATCTCTAAGGCAGCTTCCTACTCTCCTGTGTTGATGTAATGCACCTTCAATTCCTAGGAGGTACGGTACTATGAAGACATAAAGTTCAGAATTACGTCACGCTTTCCTTCCTGTTTTGAGTTGTTTCATCCCTATGTCTTCGTTGTGCTAATTCGAAGGGTGGTAAGAAGATTGAGGAACAGATGTCATGAGTGACGGTAGCACTCCTAGCTTTTTTCACTTCTTTCTCCAATTCTGTGGGTAAAGTTAGAATATCGAGAGCAGCAAGCAGAGGCAGCTTTTGCAGAAAACACCACTGCTTGCTGGTGGTGCTGATCACTGGTCTGGAGTTTCGGTCCTCTCCGTGGAAACGGATGGCTGCAGGCTTATGTAGGAAAATGAACAGATCCGTTTCCGTCCAGGCAATGGGGCCATTTATCCATTGAGACTCCCTACAGGCCATCGGGTTTCTCTGCTTTGCAGCAAGCAGACAAGCTTGCAAATGCATTCCTGTGAGAAATGCTTTGCTCCTCGCTTTTGGCATTTGGGAGCATGTTTGCTTTTGCTTAAAGGTAGGCAGTTAGCATCATCTTACCTGGCACAGTTAGAAAAGCAGAATGTGGCTGGCTGGAGGAAGCCAGCAGAGGATGCAGAAATTAAAACAAAACAAAACAAAACAAACACACACACACACACACACACACACACACATACACACACAAAACAAAAACAAAACACACACATTTTATATTCAACATAACATACAATTTCATTTGTTGCTCAACTTTCTGAGGCTTTTGCTGGTGACACAGATGTAGGATCTGGTGAGTCACTGTTGCCTTGCCCGTGAAATATTAAAGAGAGCCACCTACTGTGCTCTTTGCCCATTTTGGAAGTTGTTCTGTGGGAGAAATAAAAACCCCAAAGAACAGGAAGGCTACAGAACATTTGGTATCTGATATTTTGGGGGATTAATTTAGGTTAGCTACTGTTGCTAAGTTCTTTTTTTTCCTCCTTTTTTGAAAATGCGAATGCATGGTTTACACTGATGGGGTTGTTAGGAGACCATCTCCTAGCCCGGCTTTATTCTGACCAGCTCGAGCAGCTGGAGCAGGGTGGAGTCCTGGAGTCTGGCAGGTACCTGAGGCAAGTTATTGTATTGAGTTGAACCTCGGCTTCCTAGCTAGGAAACAGGAACACGGATGCCTACTTAGAAGCTTCAGTTCCTATGTCAGCACCTTATTCAAAGGAACTATTTAGTAAGCAGAACTGCTTTCTTCTGCCACCAACTCATTTAATGTATTAGTCTGTTAAATTGTGTTAATCAAAGTTTAATAGCTACCCTTTACTGAACTCTAGCATGGTTTGTACCAATGTTGTATATATGTCGTCTCATTCATTCTTTGCAATAATCCTATGTGTTTTCTGAGACAGCTCAAGGGCCAGTACCAATGCTGACACTCATCCATGCATTTCAGTTTAGAACTGGGAAAGATCTAAAATTGAAGACTTGGATGAGGACTGACTACCAC